TCTCTCTCTCTCGCTCTCTCTCTCTCCCTCTCTCTCTCCCTGTCTTCTCTCCCCGTCCCCCCCCTCTCTAAATATATATATTTTCTTCTCCCTCTCTCTCCCTCTCTCTGCCTCCTCCTCTCTCCTTCTCTCGTTATCTGTCTCTCTGTGTCCCTCTCTTCTCCCACCCCTCCTCTCCCTCTTGTTCAGGTGAGGGAAAAGGTTTACCGCGCCTTCACGACCAGGGCCAGCAGCGTGAGCGTGGGCGAAGACGGCAAGTCCCTCGACAACGAGCCGCACATCGCTCGCATACTGGAGCTCAAGAAGACCATGGCGAGCCTGCTGGGCTACGGGAGCTACGCCGAGGTGTCCTTAGCTTCGAAGGTACCGTACAACGAACGTGCCGGCTTGGGTTGTATTGAGTGTGTGTGTGGAGAAATACCGTTCATGAAGGGTACAATCTCCCAACTTCTGTCGAGGACCATTCCCTCTTGTCACATGTGTGTGTAGTATTGCAATTTGGGCGGTCTGCTGTCTGGTGGTGCTTTTTTCTGTCGGCGATAGTATCGGGGTCAGTGTTCGAAACCACTTCGCTGCGCATTCTGGAGTGGGCCGCGTTCGCGCGATGGATACGTTTATGAGGAAATAGAACAGTGAGGAGGTACGCAGACCGTATTCCCTAACCCTAAACCTTACCCAACTTCCCCGAATGGATGCTTCATCCAACATGTTTACTTCATGGAAAAACCCTGTGAAGGCTATTATTGTTTGGAGTGACCTTGGATTTCATTCAACATAATGCACCGACGGACCTTGTTTCACAAGTAGAAAGCAGCGCCTCCGAACATGTCTTCGTTGGAGCGCATCTCTGCCTCTGGCCCCGTCCGGTCCAGATGAACAGTCTCCGACATCCGGATTTGAAACAAAACCACCCCGCGTGTGATACGTGTGCTGCTTTGTTCGAGTTGTGTGGGCGCTTCCTCGATCTGACACCCTACTGCTGCAACACCGTAAATTTTCACTCGTTGAAGCAGTGCTGCTTTTGCCCTTCGTGCATGCGTCTGCCCCCGCCGCTACTGCTGCTACCGCTGTTGCTGTTGCTGCTGCTGCTGCTGCTGCTCATGCTGTTGTTGCTGCTGCTGCTGCTGCTGGCGGCTGCTGCTGCTGCCGCCGCCGGTTTGGGAAACTTGGAGCAGATGGCAGATAGCGTTGAGGCCGTGGACGACCTGACCGCGATGCTGAGGGAGAAGAGCTACCCCGCCGCCGAGCGCGAGCTGGAGGAGCTTAGGGCGTACGCCAAGGAAAAGGGGAACGACGAGGAGCTCACGCTTTGGGACGTCGCTTTCTGGCGAGTGTTGTTGCTGTTGTCGGTGGCGGTAGAGATGGATGTTGTTGGTGTTGGTGACCGTAGGGATGATCATGCTGTTGGTGATGGTCGTGGTGGTTGCCGCTGCTGCTGCTTTGTTGCTGATATTTCTGTTGGTTGAGTCTTGGTGGTGTCGCTGCTGCTGCTGCTGCTGCTGCTGCTGCTGTCCTTGTTGGTGATGGTGGTGGTCACTGCTACTGTCGTAGTAGTTTGGGTTGATGCTGTAGCTGTTCTTGTTGCTGGCGACAGTGATGATGTTGCTGTTAGGCTTCTGGTGCTGCTGCTGCTGCTGTTTTTGTTGGTTTAGTTTGATAGTCTGCTGCTGCTGTTGCTTCTTCTGCTGGTGCCAGGCCCATGGCTACCACCGACACAGTCACACGACACCGACCTGAGAAATAGAAGGCATCGGCGCATGCACTACGTAGTCGACCCAAGGATTGAATTCAACCCTGCCAACGACACATTTTTTTTTTTGCGCGTTTTCCTTTGTCCGTTAACCGTGAACAGCGGTGACCCCAACGGGAAGGCCAAATATCGAAGTAGTGTAATAGCACTATTATCACCGAAAACGATGCACGTAACGTCAAACGTTCGACACAGCTGAAAAATGTTTTGGGAGCGACTGACATCGTCCGTGATGTTGTGTGTGTGTGTGTTGTGTTTTTTTTTTTTTTCTTGAATTCGCACCGACCGCGCTAACCAACTGACCAATAAATGACTCCTGTCTGGTAGCGGGACAATAATACGCCTATGTGTGTGTGTTTTTTTTATTTTGCTTTGGTTGCAGGAGCGAGCGTCGGAAGGAGGAGCTGTACGCCTTCAGCGAGGAGGACCTCCGGCCCTACTTCTCCCTGCCCGAGGTAAGACGAGGCTGGCGGTACGCGTGTTGCGGTATGCCGTCGACGCTGCTGTATGGTCAGACCTTGAGCGTGCTGTATGGTCAGACCTTGAGCGTGCCTCATGGTCACTGCCGTATTGGAGCTACTGGTTGGGTTGGGGGTTGGGGTGAAGAGCACGTTGTAGTGATATCGGTCGCGTTGACAGCACGTTATAGTGGTATTAGTTGCGTTGATCAACAGTAACACTTTACACTGGTGTTGGAAGCATTGTAAACGGTTGTTAGGGGTGTGCATTGTATCGGCATCGGTCATCGTTGCAACCATTGCCAGACAATATTTGGTATCATCGTGGCGTTAACCAACCACAGCGGTCAAAACTGCTGTCGGGGCTTGTACAATATTGTACTGAGTTTTAGTGTTGGTACCCCAGTTGTATAGGTTCTAGTATTGGTCAAATGACGGTGGATTTTACGGATGGTGAGATGATGACGTCCTTCTTCAAACAGCGCTCGTGTTTAGCTTCCCGCCACAAGCCATAAAACATAGATGGTACCGCTGATTGGATTTCAACACCCGTTGCGATAGTGTTGTGTTGATTGGCGTAACGAGGTTTAGGCGTGGGTTGGTTTGTTCGATGGAGAGCATGAGTCCGTTTCTTTCTTTTTTTTCCGGGATGGTCCTAGCTATGCTAGATGGTGTCTTGTATTGAGGCCGCTCTTTTCATCGATGTGTTTTTTTTTTTGTAGTCAACTCAAAGGTTGTATCTCCGCAGAGTTGTGCCAACACATGGTTTATTCGGAAGCGAGGTGATGTCTCAAGGCCACTCTTTCATCAATCTGCCTCCATATTTTTGTAGCTCAACGGTCATTTATATGTGTCCACAACTGTAACTAGTTGTTCCAGCACTATGGTTGAATTCGGAGCAGCGTTGTTTTCTAGCCCTGCAGTTTCACGTCAAAGGGCGCGCGTCGGTTCGTGCAGTTACCTCCCGCAGGGGGGCAGGAGCAGCGCCGACGGCAGCAGCAGCAGCCGCGACAGACGACCGTTCGGTGTAATTTTATTTTTAACTGTGCGCCGCCATTACGACCGCCCCGCCCGATCAAACTGGTTTTCCACGCAGGTGCTGGAGGGCATGTTTGGCTTGGCCGGGCGGCTGTTCGGGGTATCCATTTCCCCGGCGGACGGGGAGGCCGAGGTCTGGAACCCGGACGTGAGGTTCTTCAACATCAAGGACACGGCCTCCGGGGGTGAGATATATATATGTACATTTTTTTTTTTTTGTGAGCTCCGCATCGGAACGCAAGGAGGTCGTCGCGCAGCTGGCTGGAAGCAAGTTTTTTTGTCGTGCTACATGTAAGTTGTGCTGATGTGGCGTAGTGTTGCCATTGTTCTTGGTAGATTTTTTTTTTTTTGGCTCGCGTCGGTTCAAGAGTGGAGGTTGTTGCCGCACAGGCTGGAAAAAACAATGTGTGTTGTGGTGCTTGTTGGCTGGGTTGTTTTCGTTTAAGATGGAGGACGAGGCGTTTCGACCGCTTGCGAGAAGCTGACCATGGGTCCAGGGGGTACCGGACGGCCGGCCTAAACCTCTACTTCTATTTCCTTTTTCCTGAACTTGGTACTTTCCGAGGCCGGGTGCGCGTGTTCCGTCATCAATCAAAGGATAAAAAAAATGGTCACTGTTTTGTGTGTATTGTTTTGGAGTTTTTCCACACCAAGTCCGTAGTTTAGCTTGTGGGAGGGAGTTCGAGGATGTTGCGATGGTGTAGCGTGTCACAGGCGGTCTCTTTCAGACGTGCGGGGCCCACGTCCTTGTTCAGCCTCGACGCAGCTCTCGATTGGATGCGTAGGCGGGTGTTGAGCTGCCCGAAAACAAGTTCTTGTTGCCGCCCTTGGCCGGTGTAAGGAAGGCACTACGGCCGTGCCTTGGTGGGACGGAAGGTGAAGCCGGTGGTGACCACTTTTTGCGACGAATCACAAGCCTCAAGCGCCAGTAGTTTTCAAGGACGGCAGTGGGAAGGTTTTGTGGCAAGGCACATGGATGTTGCACGGCGGACATCGGTCGCACAGAACATAGGCCTCTTTTGTTGTTGCTGCTGTTGTCTTCACATAAACAATCGGTGTTACGGTGTCCGCTCAGCACCTTCGTACAAGCGACGCGGACACCTTCCGTGGCCACATACCAACCTTCTAGGACTCAGAAGAACGGACAAGTAAAGTTGACCCACTATGCCCAAAAAGTTTTTTTATCAAACCGGGCGGCGTCGCCCCCTTACCCCCCCCTACCCCCCTACCAGAACACGTCGCGAGCTTTTACCTCGACGCGTACTCGCGGCCGGAGAACAAGCGCGGCGGGGCGTGGATGGGCGTGTGCATCGGGGCCAGCAAAGCTCTGGGGAGGAGCCCCGTGGCGTACTTGACCTGCAACGGGTCCCCCCCAGTGGGGGATACGCCCAGCCTCATGACCTTCCGAGAGGTAAGAGACGGATCGATGGAGAATGATCATTTTTTTTTTTCGGAGAATTTGTTTTTGGTAGTGTCGGGGGGGGGGAGGTCAGCATTGGGCAACTCCCAAGCTTGTCGAAAAGTACGTAGCGTCCTCCTCCCCCCTCACCTCCGCAGGCGGCAGGCGCATGCTTTGGTTCTAAAGTAGTTATTCCGATCGGTGGGTTACTGTTCTATCCTCACCCTCCTACCCCCCCCGCCCCCCCACCGTTGTGGAATCATTCCCTTGTGCCTCATCTGTTATTTTTTGTTGCCGAAGTTCTTGGGGCCCTCGTCGGTGATCCTTCGATATTTGGACCATTTCTCAGAACGTTCTCGGCGTTGCCCCAAAGAACCAATACACATGGTTGTTTGTGCTCCCAGCAACCTTCCTAGAGCGGCCGCAGCTCAAACGACGTTCCCCCTAATACTCATGCCTCGCAATCTGTGGAAAGTTCCCCGCCCCCTTCGGTAGCTCTGATGTCTAAGCCGTGCCGCAAGCTTCGCGATGGCTGCTTGACCGCCGCCGCCATTGCCCCCCCCCCCCGTCCATCGTGACCATTCTTTTTGCTGGATGCAGGTGGAAACCTTGTTCCACGAGTTCGGTCATGGGTTGCAACACATGCTGACCACCATGGTCGACGGGGACTGCGCAGGTGTTTTTTTTTTTAGGCGTTTGAGAGCGCTGTTGTATTGTCGCCATTTTTTTTTTTTTTTGCTTCGCTTCATCCCGTTGGTTCGTGCGCGTGCACCGTTTGTATAGCTCAATCAGCTGGGTGCCATTTGTGTTGCGTGGACTCGACGCAACTACCTCTGCCTTGTGGGCAAAGGTATAGACGCACACGTTTTCACGGCATGCACGAGGGTTGTGGAATGTTAAATATTACTTTGTTTTTTTTTCTTCGCTTCAAATCAGCGCTCACAGCGCCTGTGCCGTTTACTCCAACCCGTGGTCACACAGACGGGTTGTTTGTTGCAACTGCAAATGTTTTGATTTCGCCTGTACTTGTGGTGTCGCCCATCCTCTTCTGTTCCGTTGGTTTACAGGGATCAACGGGGTGGAGTGGGACGCGGTGGAGCTGCCCTCGCAGTTCATGGAGAACTGGTGCTACCACAAGCCCACCGTTGACCAGGTGAGGAAGCGACGTGCCGGACTTGTATGACGGTTGTGCCCCGCTTGATTGTGTATAAAGGAGCGTTTCATCGTGTGTTTTTTAATATTGTATCCTTGAAGATTAGTAAGAGAGTCGGTCTTGTTGTTTGTAGTGCACAAGCCTGCTGAGGATGAGGACAACACGAACGGATCTCGGTTGTTTGGTCGGCTTTGCAGGCGTGTCCATGCCGCAAACATTCGGTTTGGCATCGAATATGCCCCTCAGGCGAGACATTAATCTAGCGAGAGACTACCCCCCCCCCCCCCCCCCCGCCCCCCCCCCCCCCCCCCCCCCCCCCCCCCCCCCCCCCCCCCCCCCCCCCCCCCCCCCCCCCCCCCC